CCACCAAGGCAGGCCCATCCCCCAGAGCATGCTCAGCCCTGCTGAGGTTGAGCCACTGAGCCCACTGCAGAGGTCCTACACACCCCGCCTACTAGGGCTTACAAGTTCCCCAAAGGTTTGCTGGTGGTTGGTGCAAGACCCTAGGGCAGGCTGTCTGCTGTGGCTGAGCTGGATTAAATCAGTGCTTTAGTGGTCAGGGGGCAAACCCCTGCACTAAGAGGCCACAGAAAGCAATCCAATGGCATCTGCCAGCATCCATATCAGCATGACTGCACTAGGTCAAGAATGGCTGCTGCCAGTGTCTCAGTCCCTGGGGAGGTGTGCCCAGCTGCCTCCTGCCTCTCTGCGATGCCCTCGGAGCTTAGCCAGTGAGTCTCTTTTACCAAAGGATGGTGTACCTTTCTTTTGGTATTTTTGTGTCAGTTTCTGGAATGGGTGAATCTATGCCTGGGCCCTGTAAGAGCAGGCTTTTCTTTCTCTGAAGTTTGATTGTTTTTCTGAGGATATTCCCTCTTAGTTTTAAAAACCAACAAAGCCAGATATTGTGGGAACTCATCTCAGTTGTGCTGAATTCAGAGTGGGATGCCTATACTGGCATAGATCTCCTGCTCAGATACCCCTGCTCCTCCAGGAAAAGCTTCGCACCTTTAAGGTGGCTCCTGGCTGTCAAGCACCATGGCTAGATGTGTTTTTTTCTCAGCAGAGCTGTATTTCTGCCTCTTCCACCCCTGTCAGTGTTGTCCCTTGTTGTGGGGGTTCTTTTTAACCAGTTTCCAAATCTCTCTCAGAGGTAATTGTTCGACAGGTAGCTGCAGATTTGTTGTGTCTGAGGGAGGAGGTGCGTTCAGAGTGCTCTACATTGCCATCTTCCCAGAATCCCCCTCATTATTTTCTTTCTAGTTGAAATTGCAGTATAAGATAATTTGATCTCTCTTTTTACATTTCATTCATTATAAGTGGCTATTTGTTGTTGAAGATGCTAGAGTTCCTCAGCAAACCCTTCATAAAACTGACCAAGTATGAGAGCATCACGTAGGCGCAATAGGAAGACAAAAGCCATGGAAGCATCAGTGGCGCACACAACACGATCAAACAGGAGCTCTCAGCTGGTGACAATTCCTCCTGACATTTTCAGGACACAGTTTAATTTTTTTCTGATATAAAAACCATTGGTTGTACTCATACCATCCCATTTTAATTTGTGCGCTCAGTGAAGTCTGGTTTTTTTCTTTTTAACTTAATATTTTATCATAAAAGTAATATAACTACAGCAGAAAACTTATAAAACAGAAGAAAAGAAAAATATCACCCATAATCGTACTACCCTGAAATGTTTGGTACATTCCCTTCTGGTACGTTTTCCCATGCACCTAAGCTTTTACATAGTTATACAATAGAAATGCAAATTATGACAGAGGCAAACTAATATAAACTATTCTAGTGGATATATCATAGTGTAGTCCAAGATTTCTATTGTATATTTATTTCTGGGTATATTTTTAATGAAACCCTTGATAAAAGTGCATGAAGTATTTTTCATATTTTACATTACTTCCTGAGATTGGGCTTATAGGAGGGCTAATTGGCATGCCTATTTGTATTATTCTTCACATACAGTGCATAATTATTTTTCATTGGCTTTTTGCCAGTTACAATGGTACCTTCAACATACAAGGATATCAGTTCATCACACATTGCTTTTTATTGGGTGTTCACATAAGAACTGTTTTGTTGTTAATTTAATGAGCAAAAAAATATGGTACCTTGTTATTTTCTTTTGCATTTCTTCAATTTTAGTGAGGTTAAACAGTTTCTAGATGTTTATGTGCCAGAGTAAACACATATTTACACCCTTTCTCCCAATCCTGCCTTCTAAGACAGTGTCTACACTTCTCTCCTCCTCTTTCAGTGTTGTGCTGTGTTGAATTGTGCAGAAGAAACTCCATTTACCTTAGAAATGTCATGGAGACTTGTGTGAGCTGGGAGATCCAGACAGTGGGGGGAGTAGTAGAAATCAGACAAGCCAACTTAAGCTGGAGTTTTTGAGAGAAAGTCTGGGTGGGAGACAGAGAAGCTAGGTTCTAGAAAAGCAGTTGCTTTAGTGAATGGAACCCTGGGGGACGGAAATGGATAAAGTGGATTTTAGGACATTTTTATGAGTGTCACATAGTATAATCCTTCTCTGAGCCTCTTTGAGATATTCTAATAAAGTCTTCTCTTACTTTTTACATTATTTCTGGAGTGGACTTTATTTAGCTGTCAAGCAATACCATGTTATGTTAATCTTGAGACAGCACAGTTAAATGTGGGTTATATATATTGTTAGCAGCATGTTCTGGTCTTATGGAGGAGCTCAAGATCACCCCATACTCTGAGGAAGATGTTGATATGAGTCATGCCTCTGGCATACCTGGGCCATTGACATAGGGGTTGTGCTGGTTTTGAGAATTCCAAGAAATTCTTCATTCTGTGATGCTAGTACTCAAAGGTTCCTTTTCCTATTAGATTGCTATTCTCTCTCAAAACTCCCTATGGTGGGTTATTTCAAGCCTGGAACACCTCTCCAATCTATTTCCCCAGCTTCCTTTTTAGAAAGGCCTAGGACTGGTATTTTGAGCAATCTTCCTTAAGCCTTAGGGAAAAATACTGACTTTTTTCTCTTTTTTCCATGGTCTCACTTTTCTTTACCTCTTCTCACTACAGAGTGGTAAGATTTCAAGGACCAAGATTGGATAGGGTAAAGAGACTAGGAAAAAGAATGCAAGGGGACCGGCTTTTAGTCTGGGTCTGAGTCCAGAGGGACCAAAGGAGTTCACAGCCCAATTCCTGAGGAGTCTGCACTAAGGTCTGAGTTCCAGTCTGCTTGTTAACAGCTTTTTGGCCCATTCTAATACTTTGTATATATATATATATATCCCTCATGAATCTGAAGAATTGCTTATTGTCTGTTGTGTGGGAACTTGGCCTAATAACTTTCCATTTCATCATGACTAACACTGGAATTTTCTGTTTTGTTGAATTGTGTATTTAAGGTCTTTGTCTGTTGATGTACTGTTAAAGTACACAGGCTCTACAGATAGGTAGATTGCCTGGTTGGACGCAGGCTACCCCATTTTGTGGTCTTGGGCAAGTTACCTAAACCCTGTGTGTCTCAGTTTCTGTATCTATAAAATGAAGGTAATAAAAGGACTATCCTTCTCGTAGGTTTTTGTGTGCATTAAATTAGAATCTCTGTATCTAAACTTTGAACAGTGGTATTAAGTGCTCAATATATGTTAACTTTTATGACTATTACTACCACAACCACCACTCCTGCTATTTGTATGATAACACTGTTAACTCTTCATTATATTTTTCAAGTACGTCACATCTGTCTACTGCCTGCATATTTACTTTTCAATGTACATAAGTTCTAAATCAAATTTATTGGCCTTTTGTAATTTTCTTTATCATATCAAAAATTTTAAAAAGTTGGTCTTCTTCTAGCTGTTTGATAAATATTCTTTTTTTTCTACTTTAGCTTTTCTATGGCTTAACTTTCAAAACAGCTGACAAGACAATAGAATTTTACTCTTTTATTTTCAGGAGAAGAACCTTCCTAGAGTCGTAGTTTATATAATTGATCTCTGAACCATTCCCTAAATCTTCATACTTCTTTATGTAACTAAAGCAAGGAGGAGCGAGCTTTCTGGTGCCTGCAGAGCCACAGGGACTCTGTAGTTTGTGCAGTCCATTCTTGCAAATAAACACAGGAGAGTCACTTACCATCTCTGTGCTGGACGTCATTTTCTCTGTCTCTAAAATCGGAGGGCCCTGAGGACAAGAAGGATTTCTGAGGTGTTTAGGTTGGGGAGGGCCCTATGACCCTGTAATCACAGCGGGCATAGGACTAACTTCTCCTTAACATTAGAAACACAGGCAGGTCTGAAATCCCTCCTCCCTCTTTGCTGCCCTAAGCCTAGTATTTCTAGAGAGGAATAGAGGAGAAAAGAAAAAAACAAAGCAATATCACTAACTCGTAGTTTTGCAAAGTCAAAAGAACCACATTTAAAAGGAAACCACTGGCCCAGTGGTTAGGTTCATGCACTCTGCTTTGGTGGCCCAGGGATTCGTGGGTTTCGATTCCGGGCGTGGACCTACACTGCTCATCAAGCCATGCTGTGGCAGCATCCCACATACAAGAAAATGGAGAAAGATTGGCACAGATGTTAGCTCAGGCCCAATCTTCCTCAAGCAAAAAGAGGAAGATTGGCAACACATGTTAGCTCAGGGCCAAATCTTCCTCACACAAAAAATATATAAATAAAATAAAAGAAGGCAATATACAGTGCAGTGTTCAAAAGCAGGGACTGAGCAGGGCTCCAATCCTAGCACCACCACTCATGAGTTGTGGACCATGGACTAGTTACTGGATCTCTTTAAACCTTAGTATCCTCTTCTGGAAGATGGCAAGAATAATAATCCCACCTCATCAGATTCTTTTGGAGACTAATACAAATAACTTTTGTAAAGACCTCCATACCATGCCTAGTCATAGAATATTATTTTTATAGCCACATTTTGTAGCTGTTTGGAATAATACCAACAAAAATTTTTTAAGTCAGTTGCCATTTTCACAAACATAGCCAGGAATAAAGTAAGTAATTGCTGGGGACTCGTTCCAGGGAAGAGATGAAATAAACATCTCACCTTTGGGCTTGGAGATGATATGAGGCTCCATATCCAGTAATTCTAGAAATTAATTGCTCTCAACCTTGCTTCGGACTTCAATTTTCCTCACAACAATGTGTGCTTCTATTCTCCTATTTACCTTCTACGGATGTTTGTGAGGACCACCTGTGACCATCTGATGTCCTTTAGAGCTGAAATATTTTATTAGTTAAAAGCCCATAAAGCATTTTAAATTGGTGTTTGATATCTATTGTATTACTGGAAATTCCATCAGTTCTTCCTACTTGTTCAGTAAAGTTGAGGATCCTTCCTTCCTTTTGTTCTGCTCTTCTCCTCCTCTGTTGATACTCATTTCATGATCCTCTCAGAAATGATCTCTCAGCCTTCTTAGCCTCATGCATCAATTTTCCATGAAAACCCAGCTAGAATAAGAAATACCTTTGCAATAATGATCAAATTGGCTCCAGGTTCCCTGGTGTGTACAGAAGATGAAGGCCTTTCCCACCAACAGGTAGCATGGGTCACAAGTGTAGGTGGCAGTCATCCCAGGAAGATACAGAGATGCATGGCCTCCAATGTGCTGCCTGTTGTGGATCTTAGGTGGATGTGGGCATGCTAAGAACAAGTTCCCCCCAAAACATGAGAAAAAACATTCAGTTAAACAAAGAAGTATGACTACACCGACCCATCTATTAGTATCTCTGGATACTAGAGCCACAGGAGGACCCAAGGCAGGCAGGTTCCCAAGGCACTGAACAGTTGCCAATCAGTGGGAATACCAATTGTCTAAACCGAGACCTCTCAACTTTTATATTGGATCATCTGTATTCTCTACCTGTAACTGCACCAGATGGGAGTTCCACCGGGATCTATAGACTACCAGTTCAACACTGTCTGTCCTCACTGGAGGATGGAGCTGGTGTGGACAATCACAGCCACAAATGAGCCTACAGTTGTCAGGCACTGTCATTTAAAGCCAGACTAATATGTAAGAGGAATGAGCTACAGAGGCCAAGAGCACAACCTTGAACTCCACTTCTCCAGGGCGTCCTGAGTTCCCTTTGCTAACCACGAGATGAAGGGTCAACAAAATACAGTCACAAGCTAGAGCAGAACATTTAGAATTAACAAAAACAGTATAAATGCCTACACTGGGGATTATTTAATTATTTCTGTAGCATTATCAATTCTGAAGTAAATTACTGCCATCAACATGTATGTTTTGCTCTGCACACCCATCTATCTAGTATGAAGACAACTAGTAGAAGAGACGGCATCACAGGGTATTTTCTTTGGCATTTGTTTTCGGTGCTTTGGAAATATTCTCTATGAAAGCCGGACCTCACTGATTCTCTCTGCTCTCCACTCCCTCCTCTCCTCACCATCCCACATTCCTCACCCCAGCGGGGACATGAGAATACCACAATTGGGACGCAGTGTGGCTCATCTAGAACCCATCTGTTATTCACTTGGCAGGTAATTCTGTGACATTCACAACACAGCCATGTTCACAAGCAAAAATGACTCTCACTATAGAATTGTGGGGCTTCTCTCCTAGATATTCTGATCCATCTGGAGTGTGGGGAAATGTGCACTGACCAGCAGGACCGGGAAGTTCACAGTGATGGGCAGGGCCACTCCAAATCTCGTTCCCTTGACTGTCACTTGTGCAGTGGATGGTGCTTTCCCCAGTGAGGTTCGACGTCATACCTCTGACTGGTGGTCACATTTAAGTAATTTCTTTTCCGTAGGGAATGTCTCCCAGAGAAGTTGCTGTGGAGTTTCCATTAAGGATAGCTAGAGGATTTGGACAACGGATTCTAGAAAGAACACAAGAACTCTAGGTTCCATTAGAGTTTCAAGCAAAATGGTTATACAATAATGGAGCCCTTCCTCCTTCTAGAAACTCCCAGTTGCAACTTTCTTCTGGCTTCCCTCCTACTCCTTTGATCCTTTGTTCTTCTCTGGTTTCCTTCAGGCTCCTTGCCTGCTTCTGGACCTGCCAGCTGGGGTGACCCCCACCACTCAGTCCTAGGTACCTTCCCTCCCCATTGGGTGGCCTCTGCCTGGGGATTTTGCCCACTGTCAGGCCTTGACCTGTGACCTGTATTCTGAGGACACCTCCATCCCCCTATGGGTTCCAGATCTACATTTCTAGCAGTTTACATACTTGCCACTGTAAGTGTGGCCTGGGGACCAGAAGCATGGGCATTCCCTGGAAGCTTGTTAGAATCACAGACTCCCAGGCCCCACCCAGACTTCCTGAACCAAGATCTTCAGTTTATCAGGATCCATATGTTTCACGCACATGTTAAAGGTTAGGGAGCACTAGTCTATCCTATTCATCTGGACTCCCCCACTGTAGCTCAAGCTCAACATGTCTCGCCTGAAGGCAGACCCTTCCTCCAAAACATGAATTTTTTCTTTGTTTTCCCTCCCAGTGAACAGCTTCTGCCAGTGAATGGGGGTGGGTGGTGGGCTGGGGTCAACATCCCCACTGTGAGGCTGCCTCAGAAAAAAAATGATTATACAACAATGGTGCCCTTGGAATGTGTTATGAATCAATTTTTTTCTATGAGAACATAATAAGGTGGATGCAATTTAAATACGTAAGGCTGAGAAGAAACTGAAGTGAGACTTAAATGGCAGTTTTTATTGTAAAAGTCCAAAAGACCCTCAAGGTAGCTACGTTTTTAATCAATTTAGACGGCAATTAATTTGTTTTTTTCAGCAACCATTTGATAGCCTACTTTATGTGAGGCATCTTAAGAATCCTGGGTTGACAATGGGGTATAAGACAGACAAGGTTTTGGCCCTCAAATATCTGAGGGTCCAGGGAAATCTTTGTAAAGTTTTTAAACATGGATTATCATTTTCAGTAGATGTAAACGTTTCTTGATGACTCAAGCCCACTATCATCAGTACCAATACCAAAGATATAATAGTGTCATCAAAGTACATTGATTCCTTTATGGCTCTTTATAGCCAGATTAAATGGCTCCAGAGAACCTTTTTTGGGGGATGGGGGCTGGTTTTCTTTCTTTCAAGCTATCAGGTGTCATTTCCTCCTGCTTTTAGTGTATCTGATTCCAGTGTTCTCTCCCTAAAACTAATGTGATGCTTCTAATCTGATATGGATTTAGGAAGATATTCCCAAGCTTGTCAGAACTGTGTGAATAAACAAAGTGAAGGCCTTAGTGCATGATACAATGCAGGACATCCCATACTGGATTTTCTCTATGTGTTTGTTTTTCTCCAAAGTTTACTTATATACTTATTTTCAGCTTTATGTGTCTCAGGAAGGTTGAGTTTGTTGGATATCTGAGTTTTATACGTATTGAATGTTCTTATAAAGTAACATCATAATCCCATAAGATGTCCAAATAGATTTCTAGCAAGGTATTTTAACAAAGTCCAAATTAAAATGAGCAATTTTTAATCATTAGGGAAAAGGGATTAAAAAAAAGTCTTGCCTTGCTTTAGTAAAGAGTAGGATAAATCAGGAATGTCTTGGTGTTTAAAACACTCTTATCTATTTATCAGTTTCTGTATATTTGCTATTTTATTTAAGTGGGTGGTTTTGAAATTAAGGGCAAGTCATCTCATCATTTCAAATATTGACTCACCGTCCTGCACCATACTAACTTACCATGTAACTCTGCTTTATTTTCTCTATAACACTTACCACTTTTTACTATACCTTTTTATATATTCTATTTTTATTTGTTTACCTATTTACTTTCTTGTTCATTATTGCCTCCCCAAGTAGAAAATGAACTCCATGAGAGCAGAGATAAGACTTTCCTGTTTAGCCCTCTCCCCACATGGAAAGTCCTGGCCCATGGAAGCCCTTCCTCACTAAACACTATGGACTAAATAACAGGCAGAATAAATAGTTTAGAGATGTGAGGGATAGAAGGACATAAACATTTAAGAGAGATATATGGGTGGAAAACATCTACTGTCTACCCTCTAGGTCCTTCTGGCTGGCCTATGAATTAAATTGATATGAGACAGAATAACAGGAGAAAATCAAACAAAGCTTTATAACATGTATACATGGGAGAAACCCAGGAAAACTGAGCAACTCACCAGAATGGCTGAGGTTGCCACCTTAAACACCATATTCAGCTAAACACAAAGGAGGATGTTGGGAGTAGTGGTTTGGGGCTTCAAAGGGAAGGAAGGCAATTTACATGGGGATGGAAATGCAAATGTTTGTTAAACAAGTGTTTGCTGGGCCGTCAGTAGACAATGTTATCTTCTGGTATTAGCTTCTTCCTGGAACAGGCCTTCTATCTTAAATTGTTTTAGGCAGTTGGGGGGGGTGTCAAAGTTTCTTTCAGAGTCTTTTGTTCTTAAAAATAATCAAGCCAGTGGCTGGCCTGGTGGCATAGCAGTTAAGTTCATGCACTCTGCTTTGGCAGCCCAGAGTTCACAGGTTCGGATCCCGGGTGCGGACTGATGCACTTCTTGTCAAGCCATGCTGTGGTGGTGTCCCATATAAAGCAGAGGAAGATGAGCACAGATGTTAGCCCAGGGCCAGTCTTCCTCATCAAAAAGAGGAGGATTGGCAATGGATGTTAGCTCAGGGCTAATCTTCCTCACACACACAAAAAATAATAATCAAGCCAAAAAGACACATTTTGAGGTGGCCAATTCTGATCCCCCACAGTCTCACCTTTGAAACTTTAAGAAGTTTCATAGTCCAGAAGGTGAGTTGGTAGATTGTTTCATCTCACTGAACACATTTCTTAGTCCTGATAATAGATCAGTCCACTTAAATTCATTTCAGAAGGTGGTGATGCGGTTGGGCTCCAAAGCTAGGCCTATATTTTGGAAACCAGCAATCATGTATTCAATAAGTAGCATTTCTATGGAAATAAAAAGAAAAACAACGTTATTGGTTGGAGTGAATTATAAACCAGTTTTTGAGCCCAATGGACAACGAGTCAAGAAGATTTCTAGATGTTAGGGTCATGGTATCTTTTGTAGCTTGAAATGTCTCTGATGATGTCATCAGGTGTTCAGGTATCCTTTTGCGTGGCTTACATAGCAACAGGCATGCTATTGGGGTGATCTCTACAAGGTTCCCATCAAGTTATCTAGCTTCAGTTTGCAAGGCTTCAGGAAAAAGGGTTTCAGTTCTCAATTGATTTCAAATGAAAATGATGGATGAAATCAAAAACGTTAGTTTGGACATCTGTAGCCAGATATTTCAGGAGACTAGAAGAATTCAAGATCCAGTCCAGTTTATTTAGAAAACAAAAACCTTCAAGAATTAACAGAACTAGAATCTAATATCCACAAATGGGTATTATAGTTTTTACTGAAATATAATTTTCCTCTCTAAAATCACACTCATTTTTACCAAAGATAGCCAAATTAAGACTAACTGCTTTGTAAAATAAATCTAGTTTTAATAAATTAGGTCCAATTATTTCTATAAGTACAGCAAGAATAGCAATTGATCATATAGGCTTTTTAAAATCTGCTTTGCTGGAACTTTATATAAGGAATCTCAGATTGAACTTGAAAGCCCTCTAGAGTCCAGGAAAGTGAAGGACTTGTCAGACTCCATCAGTAATACCTATAGATGTGGATAAATTCCTCTCCCAAATATTTTGAGGTTCTAGGCACCTGCCAGAGACGTGACCTTCTTTACTCACCTGGTAAGGTTGTTAGGAACCCTATAAACAAGGTACCAGGCCAATATTTCCAAGTGTCTTTATTTCATAATGTCCAATCTATGTTTCTCAAAAGCTGTGTGGTCATATCTGAGTTTATGCCTGTTTCTCTCAAATATTGCATTCTAATCAAACCTTTGATAATATAACCAATGTTTCCAATTGTGTCCTGCTATAAGGAGAACATATTCTTATTGAAATTATGCAAATAACTATATTGCCATGAAATAAGAATATTCACTTACTAAGGGTTTTCACATTCTAGAGGGATCAGGTAGGGAGAAAAAGATAAATGTTTCAATTTTGCTTACAATGGTATAGTTTACCAAATTGCTATGAGTCATAGTTAACTTAAAAGAAAAGAGAAAAAGTTTCCTTTAAATCTGAAAAAACAAAACATTTAAAAAATCAGCAATATTTCAAAAGAAAAGTCATAGAATTTATAATTATCTGTATCAGTTCATTCCCTCCCACATAATCAATGTTTGATCTTGATCTTTTGTTAGCAGTTTCCTGAAGTCATCAGGTTCTCTGTTAGAGTTCTGCAATTTTTTACTGAGTTCAGTTTTGTGATTTGAAAGTTTATCAGAAACTTGTATTCTGGAATAAGTGTCAGAGTTCTTTCCATGAATCTCTCTAAAGATGAAAACATTTGCAAAAGCAGAGTAAAACCAAGCTGTTTGTAAATGACAAAAGACTTAAAAGGGCAATTGACAAAGTAACTTGGTTATTTCTGTGACATACAACACTTTAAGATAATACTAGAATTGTGACTGATAAACAGAAGATAACAGAATTTTAGGAATGTTATCTAATTTTTAAAACACTTATAGCAATAACATTTACCCACATAATATCATAGGTCCCTATGAAACAGTTTCTAGTTATCTATTTAACCATGGTGACAGTTAAAGATTTTTAGGTGAATGCAGAAGATTAAATAGCTGTAAGAAAAACCTTAGCACCTGTGATTAAAGACCTGATAAAAACAATATAGTAAATTTATTTTGATAAAACATAAAATCTCTACCCTTCTGGTAACACTCAAAAAAAAAAAACTTTTTGTAATTTCTTTTATCAAGAGCAGACTAAAAGTTCAAGAAAATTGTTCTTTTAAGAGAGAGAACCAAATTTTAATTTTGTACCAGCTTACTTTTGATATTAAAACTTATTCATTTAATTAAATTTATTTCAGTCTTAGCCAACTTGACCATGTAAAACTCTTTTTCAAGGTTCCTCTTCCACAAACCTTTTACAACATTTTTTTTTTACATTTAGAATTTGTCCCATGCCTTTTTTTTCTTTCCTCCTAGTACTTTAGGACAAATTTATCTTTCTTAACCAACCAAACAAAAATATTTCCATTATTTATACCTTCTTTACTGAAAACATATTTTACTTTCCTTGAATACAAAGATATTTCCCTTATTAATTTTTAGTTGCTTTAATCATACATATGAATTTTTAACCCTTGATTTTTAAGTAAAAACTAAGTAAGCAATTATAAATGCTCTTTTACATTAGCATTCTATGACTTGAGAGAATTTATAAACACTTTTCATAATTTCTAGAAACATGTTACTTCATAGTACAATATTTTAATAAAATATAAGACATGTTTACCAATAGACCCAAACACTTTTTAGTTTCTCTGTAATAAGACAGAAACAGGTAAACTTAGACATGTTTAGCAATTACTGTTTGAGTTTTTCTCTTATTTGAAAATTATCTAGATACTCAATGAATTTTTATCATTTAAATTAACCTAGCAAAACTTCAAAGTTTCAGTTACCAAAGAGATTTTGGAAGCTATTTTAAGTACACATGTGATAAACTATAATTATTGCTAAAAGTTTATCTATAGAAACTCTTATCTCACATCTAAATCATTTGTTCCCAAAACTTATGCTTAGATTACCCAAGAAAACTTCATGAGACATCAGACAAAATTAGGTATTATTTAAGCTATTATTGGGGCTGGCCCGATGGCACAAGCAGTTAAGTGTGCGCTCTCTGCTGCAGCGGCCCGGGGTTCGCTGGTTCGGATCCCGGGCGTGCACCGACGCGTTGCTTGTCAAGCCATGCTGTGGCGGCGTCCCATATAAAGTGGAGGAAGATGGGCACAGATGTTAGCCCAGGGCCAGTCTTCCTCAGCAAAAAAAGAGGAGGGTTGGCAGATGTTGGCACAGGGCTGATCTGCTCACAAAAAAGAAAAAAAATAAATAAATAAAAATAAAGCTATTACTTTGCAGACAAATTTGTAACAGGGATAACATGAGCTCAATTCACTAGTAAACCCAGGCTGTGTGTCTGCATTGTGTCCAATGCTGATAACTCTGAGGATATGTCTATTTTAGTCAAACCAACAAACTTAAACAAGCTTTCATTCACCAAAGATTATTTCATATCATGTTAACTTGAAAGACATTTGGGTTAGTTTCTTTTATATTTAGAAATAATTTATGTAAGTGCTTGCTTTAAGCCAATTAAATAGAGCTCTTAATTTTGCCCATACCATCCGGAGGTAGAAAAATATCTCACATTTACAACATATATATACAGACATACATGAACACACAAGTAGACACAGGCAGAGACCTTATAGCTTCTGCTAAATTTTTGTTATGAATCAGGTGCAATACAAAACTCACTAGTTTATAAGAAACATTTGCATTTCAAAGAACGGCTCTCAGGTCCTAGAGAAGACAAGACCAGAAAATCTACATTGCATTTTGAGAGGAACACGGAGGCTTTGGGACTGGCAAAAGGACAAGTGAAATTTGAACAACTTGCTAGAGCCATACCTTCAGCCTTGCAGAGATATGCAATCCAAAGAACTGGATTACAGTCTGAATGACAAAAAGAGGTTGACTCACCCTTCCAGTTACATTTTTCCCATTGCTTCTGTGTATCAGGGAAATTTTTAACTTAAGAGGTGGATCACAAGATTTTTATGTTCTAAAACTTCAGGACAATGTATCACACCTTTAAAAGTCTGTACAAAGCATTTAACAAAGGCCCTTTTTTCTTGCATAATTTAACCCTAGACCAATTTACCCTGAGGGTAGGGTTTTTATTATCCTTTTTACTAGCACCCGATATTAGCCTCTAGTTTTTATCTCATACGGTGTGGGCTCAGGCAACTCTATTGAATTCCCTATGTATGTTTAATTAACATTGTTTAAAGGGCAGATTTATATGCTGTCTTACAATCAGGCAGGGGAAATGTTCCCCAGTGAGACACAATGTCTATACCCACAATAGAATTTATAATACAATCCTGCAAAAAGAGATGTAATCACTTAATTCCATCAACTCTTATACTTCTAATCATAGCTTTCATTGGGGGGACTTTATCAATAGGTCTCGGTCTTATAATATTGAATAGGAGAAGCATTCCCAGTCAGATATAAGGTCCATTTTCAAAGCACTTTCAGGCAAAGTTGATATAACCTCTTTCTATAAAATTAGCTCAAACATCCCAACCTTTATAATCTTATCAACATTTATACTTTTATGCTTTTTTTTTTCAATTTAATTGTAGCCTGAGTCAGGGTCTTAAGAATAGTCATTTTTGTTTGTATTTCTTTTTTAATTTGGCTTTTTATTAGGTACAAATAAAACAATTATTATGAGAGCCCTCAAAAACTTTTTTTTCCAATTTAGAAGGTTTTCCAATTTAAATCCTCCATTGTCTGGCCACACTGATGAGTAGGATCTTAATAGCGACTCAAACCAGTAAGCTTAACCATGGATATAAGAGCTGTCCCCAAGAGAGATCCAGAAACTTCACTCCCCAAAATAGTCTGAGAAAGCAAAGGCCATTGTTGCACAACAAGCAACGAAGGTTGAGATGACAAAGGCCCCTTATGAAAGCAATTGGGACCCCTTATGACAAACTCCCCTGGGAACTGACAAAGCTGGATAAAGAGAGTGCATCTCAAAACCCCAGTCCATTTGACTGGCTATCAAGATGCACGCTGGCACATGCATCCTCCATGTGGCAGAGACCAGAAAGGTCACAAAGCCAAGCTCTCAAGACGTAAAAAAAGACAAGAAAATCCTCATTTCATATGCACATTAACAACTTTAGCTAAGCCTTGGGTCTCTTGGAGCCAAATTAATACCTAGGAGGGAGGTTCCACAGGGTTGGGGAATGTGTGTGGTTTTACAGAGTACCTCATCATTGCATGGACATTTTCTTGAAGTTGGCGGGGGACCTGTGTCATCTACCCCGTTCTGTGACCCAACTGATCCTATCATGGGAGTCTTCTTGAGGTGGTGAGCACCCTAATGGCCCTTAACTGCTTGACCTATGCCCACCAAATTTGCAGCATTTTTGGCTTCCAAGATGCCCTTCGCAACAGCTTTCACTGCATGTGCATATTCCCAGACAACAGGCTTATAGATGCCTGCATCTTGCCCTATGGTTTTTCCTTTTCATGACAAACAACACAAAAGACAGAACGAGGGAAAATAGTGACCTTCTCTGGGAAGAAAATGATCAATAAACCAATGGGTACTCAAACAAAATTTCCTAGAGTCACTGAGTCCAAGAAGCTAGCTTCACCAATATATTCTCCTGCTAATCTAAATTTAGCAAAGGAAGAAAAACTCACCACTCTCGCTTCCATTGGACCCTGTAGGCAGAGATCTGGGAGGCTGATGTGGTAAGAGCTCTTACCTCCTGTGATCAGGGGTCCAGGATGTCTCGGCTACAATAGTCCAGGAGTGAGCAACATCCAGCCAGTGAAGATTTATCCTGTCAAGTCACTAAACTATAGGGGAGGAAGACAATTACTCTACCCTCTAGGTTCTTCTGGCTGGCCTATGAATTAAATTGATATGAGACAAAATAACAGGAGAAAATCAAACAAAGCTTATAACATGTATACGTGGGAGAAACCCAGGAAAACTGAGCAACTCACCAGAATGCCTGAGGTCGCCACCTTAAATACCATTTTCACCTGAAGACAAAGGAGGATGTTGGGAATAGTGGTTTGGGGCTTCAAAGGGGAGGAAGGCAATTTACACAGGGATGGAAATGCAAATGTTTCTTAAACAAGTGTTTGCTGGGCCGTCTGTAGACAATGTTATCTTCTGGTATTAGCTTCTTCCTGGAACAGGCCTTCTATCCTAAATTCTTTTAGGCACTTGCGGCAGTGCGGGGGGGCGGGGGGGGTGCGAGCGGTATCAAAGTGTCTTTCAGAGTCTTTTGTTCTTAAAAATAATCAAGCCAAAGAGACACATTTTGAGGTAGCCAATTTTGATCCCCCACAGAGGTTACTCTTCTTTGACGAAACTAAAAAATAAATGAATAAATAAGTTTTGGTGTACTTCTATGTCATCTGGTTTCTCTCCACATATTCCCTACAAATTTCAACCCTAGCATTAAACTAGTGACTTACAGATTAGTAACAAAAACACATGCTGTATAAGATCTACAAGACCCCTTTGAAATTCTTCCAACAAAGAAGTATTTTATCAGTATTTTAGTTAAATAAAAATGCAGACAGCAGGTGATTCTACGAGGCAAAAAACACACTGGAAAAAAAAATAAAGGGAATATACAGGCTGCATAGTTGTTCCTTCTACTCACGTTCACACGTGAACACTGCTGCTCCAAAGGCTTTTCATTCCAACCAAGACACAGTGAGTAGCAGAGCTGCCTTTTAATCAGAACCTAAAGAATAATAAGGGGTACAAATGAGTGAGCAATTCCCATCTCTCCCTTCATCTCATCATTGATAGGTGCTCAGCTTTCTCACTTCAGCCTAAATACCATTTGGTTCAAAGTCCTAAAGTTTGGTTCTTTATTCTAAAGAATTACAATATCCTGTGACATGCCAAGCAATCAGAACTTCTACACTTAATTGTCATACAGACCTCATAGCCCAGTGTCACCTACAGAGGTCACTGAACACAGGCTACACTCCTTCCTGTGCCCTAGACCCACACCCATCTCTCACTGACAGCCCTCTGACACCCCACGTATTCTCATTAGTTGGTTATGAGGAAGAACAGCTTTCCATCTGGGTGAGCAAAGCAAAGATCATCTGGAAAGAGAATGGCCATGTTCTTCTTGCCACCACATTTGCAATGGCCAGACAGAGGCTCACTGGACCAGATGTTCTGGAACAAAAGAGGGATGAGGGGAGGAGTCTTTGCCACCCTTATTATTGGATCCTCTTGTCCTTCTGAAATCTGCTGATCACTATTGGGTGGTAGGCTTTGTAAATGTCAAAGATTCCTTGGAAATTATTAAAAATAACTGCTGCCTTCCCAATCTTGTTACCTCCCACAGACAGATATTGCAGACCATCAAGAGTACTAGATCCACATAAATGTCTAATAACACTGCCTGAAACAATAACATTGGCCGTTAGATCCCAGTGTCAAAGACAGTACTGATGCGAAGCTATATGTTTGGATTAAAAATACTTATCCATACGCTGTTACAATTCCACTATTAATTGGCTTTAAGTTTCCTGAAACAACGCTTGCTTGACTTTTATCACATTGTAAACAATTTTTGTCTCCTACGTCAAACTTTTTACTAGCAAATTTTCCATAAAATTACATTTTCCTGCCTCCAAACAACTCTTTACCCAGTTACTTCAAGTTCCAACCGTGAATTCAAGGTCTGTGTCTATATTTATGTTTGTACTCAACGTTGAATTATATGTGCCATTTTCTTATCTCCTAATAGTGGTGCCACTGAGTCCTTACCCTTATTTCAAAACTACCCAGAAATTAATCTCCCTGGGTACCTCTTTTCCATAGGTCAGCCCACCTTTTTAGATTAACTCCTGAACCCAAGAGAGTCACTATCCAGCACGGAGTCCCTGGTGTCTAGTCCAGCTCACACTCACCCCTCATCACAAATGAAGGACACTTTTTTCCCAAGCTGGATATTAAGTGGAAAGAGCATGCAACCATTAGGGTGTTGGTCCAGGGACGCAGCACATGATTTCACTAGGATGGGAAAAACAGGAGTGAGACTGCCATGTGAGGGACAAAGAGATCATTGATCTGCAAACCAGATGAGAGTGTAGGCACCTGCACATGTTGGGGTGGCAGGGCTCCAGTCTCCCTGGGACGTACAGCGCAGAGAAGCAGCCCCTCTGAGATCATAGCCGGGCTCACAGGTGTAGGTCACACCTCCTGCCCAGGGGAAACACTGTCCTTGTTACTTAGGGTGTGCTTACCATGTGCGATTTCTGGAGGTGGCTGACATGCTGGGGAAAGAATAGCAAAGTACCTGTCAGTTACTTGGAAATATCTCTTGCTATACCCTCTGCCTGCCAGGGAGCTTAAAATTCCTCATTACAGAGTATAGATTTTAAAATAAAAGATCTAGTAGTTCAGTACCCATGTTTTATTGATGAGCAAACATAAGCCACAGAGCAGAGCTGTAACTAGAACCAACATCTCTGTAACACCTTGTCTGTGTTATTTCTACTAAAATGTTCCTAAGACCAAGCAGAGTATTCCTTTTGCTTTCCAGTACTAGCACCCAGTACAGAGCCGTGAGTGCTGGTGGATGTTCTGCTCTTACACTTCATCGAAACGTAGCCTCTCTGGCAACAACAAGGGACACCTTTGCCAAAGTCTCATCAAACAGACCCGCTCACCTAGCTCACTGTACAGTCAGTCACACATCCCTCTTCGTTTTTCCTCCCAGCTCCTCTTTCAGGACTGTAAGCCTCTTCTCAGTCCCTATGTGCCAGCGTGGATTCTTCCCACTCTACTGCTAAGCCAGCCACTTCAGCACAAGAAGACAAGAGAAGCCATCAAGAACAAAATTCCCTTAAAAGAAATAAGCTATAGAATTTCTAAAGAGAGAACATATTGCTTAGAGCATATTTTGACTCAAATTTTGGCTGCCTCCATCCGTAGCCCAATGGATGCGTGCTCAGAGCATCAGAACAGGTTTGAGTCTCAATCTGAACCATATGTGCAGTCATGAGTCACTTCATGATAGGGATACCTTCTGAGAATTGCGTCACAGGCAGTCTCGTCGTTGTGCCAACATCACAGAGTGTCCTTACACAAGCCTACATGGTATAGCCTAATATACACCTGGGCTATATGGTACTAATCTTATGGGACCCCCATCGTATATGTGGTCCTTCAGTGACTGAAATATCATTATGTGATGCATGACTATAATTGAATAAAAATGAAAAAAAATCTTTGCTTGTATTTGAGCAAGTCATTTTCCCTTTCAGAGCCTCAGAGTTTTCAGTAATAACATGGAGGAGTTGGAAGAGAATGCCTGAAGTCTAAGACCTTTTTAATCCGATGCTATCATTTGGGTCCCATGGCTCATTTGCCTACTGACCCCCTCCAATGAGAGATCTATGTTGTTGTTATCATATATTATATTCATCATATGTTTCACTATACATTATCATTAGGCTCTGCAATCAGAATGGCTCTTGAATTCCAGGCTTTGTTCTATTATTTACTAGCTCTGTGACCTGTGAAAGTTTACTTAACATCTCTAAGACTCAGATTTCTCAATGTAAAATGGGAATGAGAATAGTTCCTACCTCATATGTTTGCTCTAAGTACTAAATTAAGCAATGCTTATAAAATGTGTTTTACAGATGACACAGGGTAAACCATTACTTTTTGACAATTATTATTATAAGAGATAACACAGAAGAGTTAGTGTTATGTTTAGTGTTTATACCAGCTTCATAGTAGTTGTGTGTGCACACACACTCTCACACGCTCTTCCTTAATTTCAACAACTCTTATCATTTACACTCCTCAACACGTCCCCAGCAGAGTCTCAGTGGATGAAACTCACCCCTGGAGCAGCTTGGCAGCTCAGGCACCCGTGTTGTTGGCCCACCACTGCAGAGTGTGGGGCCCTTTCATGACAAAGCCAGACCGACATCTAAATCTCACAATCTCACTTAAGGAAAATAAACTCCTATTTCCGGGTAGTCTAATTGAATTTTCAACTTCTGGAGTTGTGCATTAATTGGCAGAAATACACTAAGGAGGAGGGCTGCTCCAAACACCAGGTTGATTGTCTTTGCTGGAACAGGATACTGACTGTTCTCCCATGAGGTCAAACTGCTTTTCTCCACTTGGCCCAGTGAGACACCAGTAAGTGACCACTGTTGCATATTGAGAAGCATTTCTATTGCTGCTGTAGTAGTCTGCATTGGATATGGCTGGGGGTGGTTCAAAAGATACACCTGGAGTAAGGGAGAGTGTAGTAAACAACAGCTTAGCTTTTAATTATTTTTTGATTATTTTTTTTTTTTTTGGCTGTGGAAGATTCACCCTGAGCTAATATCTGTTGCCAATCTTCCTCTTTTTGCTTGAGGAAGATTGGCCCTGAGCTAACATCTGTGCCAATCCTCCTCTCTTTTGTTTGTGGGTTGCCGCCAGCATAGCTGCTGACAAGTGGTGTAGGTTTGCGCTGAGGAAATGACCCTGGGCCGCTGAAGTAGAGTGTGCCAAACTTAACCACTAGGCCATGGGGTCAGCCCCAACAATTTACTTTTTAGAGCTGTTTTAGGTTCAGAGCAAAATTGAGGAGAAGGCACAGAGATTTCCCATATCCCCTGGCCCCTACACCTGCAAAGCCTCCCCTATTATCAACATCCCCAACCAGAGAGGTACATTGTTACAACTGATGAACCTACATTAACACATTATAATCATCCAAGTCCATAGTTTACATTAGGGTTCAGTTGCACGTTTTGTGGGTTTGGACAAATATATAATGACATGTATCCATCATCATAGTATCATGCAAAGTGTTTTCACTGTCCTAAAAATCCTCAGTGCTCTGCCTATTAACCCCACTCCCCACCCCAACCCCTGGCAACCATTGATGTTTTTACTGTCTCCATAGTTTTGTCTTTTCCAGAATTAATTTTTTTACTACGAATTTACGTAACAAAGAATCAAATGACTTTCTAAACTATAACTAATTACAATAGTGTTATTTTCTTCTCATATTTGCTAATAATCAGACATGTTGTTTATGTAGTTGAAATTTAGGTGTGTGTGATATGAGTTCTGTCCATAATAATTATTTTGTGTAAAAATATCCATGTATTATTATGGTTTACATATTTGCGATAAGTGGATAATCTATGTGATTTTATCATAGATTTTTATTTATTTACTGCTGGGCTATTCTTTCTTTGATTTTTATTGACCATTTAATGACATCTTTGCCAGTTAATTACACCACCTCTGGCACTACTCATCAAGAAAAATAGAGAAAAGAAAAATATCAAAGATAAGCCATGAGAAATGAAATAATCATAGATCTAAGGGAAATAAAATTATAAATGAAAACTATGTTCTATCATTACATAATAAATTTAAAATATTGGTATAAGTGATTATACACCTGTTCACATAAACATATCACCAATATTGACTCAGTTAAATGTTTATTGACCTATAAATATAGAGATGTGGAAACATGTTTAATTGAAGATAAACCTCTAAAAAAGGTGCCAGGCCTAGAAAATTTTTTATGGTAAACTGATAATACCTTGCTAATTTAAATTTTTTCAGGGAATTTTAAATTCTTTTTTTTTTTTTTTTTATTTTTCCCCTAAAGCCCCAGGCGATAGTTGTATGTCATAGTTGCACTTTCTTCTAGTTGCTGTATGTGGGACGTGGCCTCAGCATGGCCGGAGAAGCAGTGTGTCTGTGCACGCCCAGGATCCGAACCCTCGCCGCCTGCATCAGAGCGCACGCACTTAACCGCTAAGCCACGGGGCCAGCCCGGAATTTTAAATTCTTGGCAGGGAAAGGAGGCACCTTTTAGAGATTCTCATTCATTTCTTTGAATTTTTAAAAGCCAATGTTAATTTCTTTTGGTGAATACTTGTGCATACAATGAGCACATTCATTGCAGGAAATTGATAAAATATGGACAAATAACAAGAAGAAAATGATAGTGGTCCCCAAATAACTATTCTTAACAATTTAATGTATATCATTTTAGATATGTACGTGTGCTCATGCATGTGTGTCTGTGGATATATTTTATACAGTATCATATTTGGTAGCTGAATAATATTCAGGCATGTAGGTATATGGATCTACTGTCTATTTCCACTTGGATGAGGCATCTCAATCTCTAATTCCTCATGGTACACCTTATACCTTTCTTAAAAACTTATCATACCGATTTTTACCAAGGCTTATTTCTTCTATTAGCTATTTTTAAATCACGCTGAACATCAAGTTTTAACATTTTCCACTGTCATAAATATTGTTGCATTGAGTGTCTTTGGACCAAAATCATGGGAAAATTCCATGATTATTTTCTTGGGATAAATTCTTGGAAATGCAATTGCTAGGTCAAAGGGTATTTGCATTAAGCCTTTTGCATATATTGCTCATTAGCCTTCCAGAAGTTTCTGTCCACTTTTACTGCCATCAACTCTGTGTATGATACTGATTTCTTCACAGCTTAACACTTTACCAATTTGCAATCAGTCATTCTTCCATGTTCCTCAATGTTTTGAGGTTCACTTTATAATATCCCATTGACAAGATGGATGATCAACTAATCAAGAACAAATATAACTAGGGCATGAGACTGAAAGAATTTGAAGGAAGAAAAACCAGAATAACCATTCTGCAGAATGACCAGAGACTTGGGGAAATTGCTAAGAATTATAAGATCTTCTTTCATCGTTCAGAGTAAGAACAATAAGGAAGTAAGCAATCTACTTCCTGGGATTGTAATGCACTATTAAGAAGTGGCAGAGACAAATTTAATTTTCTCTAATGTCTTTTAAGTTTAGTCACTAGGAGAATGATCTTTATACTGGAAAGAGTCTACTATCAAAACAGGAAAGTAGGGCGATTGTATCTGAGTTCAAGTCTACAGTTTCAGATAAATTACCTCCTAAAACAGAGAATCACCAGAAGAACCATGCAGTACATTGACTCCAGTTTTCAAATATCTGAGAGCCAAGTCTGTGCGATATGGATTGGATTTCTTCTTTGTAACTCCAGGGGCAAATATGGATCAAATGGAGGGAATTATGGGGAAAAATATTTCAACTCACTCTCACAAAGAGGTGCCTCCTTATCCCAAGTGACCTGATTGCCTGAGAGGAGACAAGTAGCAGATGGGGAGCCAATGAGTTGATACCTAGAAGCAAAGAATGAAAAATGATTATACTCTACAAATATTTCCCACTTAAGTCACCACGAGAAAATAATAGCAGGTAGATATTACAAATTACAGGACAGATTAAAACCTGGGAGACTTCAAGAAAGAAACCCCATCTCCATTTGCCAATCAGTCCTTTCTCTCTAAGAACAAGCTTAAATTCTCCCTTCTTTAACCCATCTTCATTCCTAGTCCCTCACAACTCAATGCCACAATTCTCTTATTCATGATGGGACATTTTTGTACTTGTCTTTAGGAAACCCCACAGAGTTGTTTTATCCATATGTACTTCCATCCAGGAGATTTTAAGCTCCTTGATTAGTAGAAAATATGTCTTATTGAAATATATACACTCTCTAGCACCTCGCCTAGAGACTTTCAAGCATGAGTTTCTCAAAAAGTATTTGTTGATTGAAAAAAGGAGTGATCACTTTAACCTGAAGATGCAGTAAATGAGAGCCAGAGGAAACACCTAATCATCTTAACACTTGAAATGTCAAAGGCATGGGTACTTACTCACTGTGCCATAAAATCATTCCAAGTAGGCCAGAAACATATTTGCTTAAATATTCATCTAGTTCTTTTATGGTTTTATTTTTATTTTTTATTTTTTTCGTGTGGAAGATTGGCCCTGAGCTAACATCTGTGCCAATATTCCTCTATTTTTGCATGTGGGTCACTGCCACAGCATGCTGTATGAGAGGTGTAGGCCCACGCTGGAGATCCGAACCCGCAGACCAGGGCTGCCAAAGCGGAGCATGCCGTACCCTACCATTATGCCACCAGGCCCAGCCCTATGGTTTTATTTTTAACGTTTAATCCTTAATCCATATGGACTTTGCTTTGGCGTATGATATGAGGCTGGGATCTAACTTATCTTTTCAGATATTTGCCTTATTAATGAATAATTCCAGTTTTCCATTCCTTGAAATGCCATGTTTATCACGGCCACATTCTTACAACAGCTTGTGCTATTTCTTGGGCTCTGTGTTTTGCTCTACGGATCTAGGTCTCTATTCCTGCATCATATCAATTATTTTATTCTTTGAAATAAATTTTAGCATCACTTCTGTTTTGTAACATGTTCTGGTAGTAAACACCCCGCTTGTTACTGTTTCAGGAAATTCTGTTCATCAGTCACATGACACTTACAATCTTGTCAAATTAAAAGAAGAATGCCATTGGAACTCTGGTTGGAATTATATTAAATATGCATACTAATTCCAAGATAATTAACATATCCAAAACACTAAGTCCTCTTTTAAATAAAATTTTTATTTTCCATTTCTTCAAGCATTTTTTTTGTCTCCCAAAAAGTGTTTAAATCTTCTACTTACATGTCCTACCTAATTCTTGTTAAATTTGTTTCTACGTGATTTTCTTGCTTTTGTGAATGGAGTATTTTTCCCAACTATATCCCACATGGTCGTTAATTATATAAAGAAAGTAATTAATTTATGAATATGTATTTTTTACTAGACATCTTACTAATATCTCCAATTAGATCTGATAATTATTAGATCTGATAGATCCTTTAGGTTTTCAGGTAAACATTCATCAGCTAATGTAATAACTTTTTCTTCTCTTTCTCAATATCTATTTATGGAGAGATCTGTCATTTTATTAGTTTGAATTTGAAGAACTTTGAAAAATAGGAAGGATGTGAAGCGTTCTTTTCCTTTTCTTAACTTTACAATATGCCTCAAGCATGCGTCTAGATTTTAGCCATTAATTATAATGGTTTTTTTTTTGTATCATAGAGTATATTTATACGACATTTAAGGAAAGATATATTTTTCTATAATACTATAGAATAAACTTATGGATTTCCTCATTTTGAACCATTTCTGGAATAGCCCTTCTTGTTCACTTTGCATGATTCTTTTTATATTGTATGGTCATGTGCCACATAATGACATTTCGGTCAACGATGGACGGCATATAAGTCAGGGGTTCCATGAGATTAGTACTATATAGATAGCTTAGGTGTGTAGTAGGCTATACCATCTAGGTTTGTGTAAGTACACTCTGTGATGTTTGCACAGCAATGAAATCGCCTAATGACACATTTCTCAGAATGTATTCCCATTGTTAAGTGACACATGACTGTATTTAACATTTGATTTAGGATTTTAGTATTTATACTAGGAAATGAGCCAGAGATATATTTTGTTTTTATTTGCAATCTTTGGAAAACTTTAATATGGGCATAATGATATTTTTATTAAATGATATTTTTATTATCTATTTCTTGAAGTTTAAAAGAAGTTACAAAACTGGGCCATTTTCTTTATTTGAAGACACTTCTTTGCAGTGGTTTTTAATATGTCCGCAAATTCTTTGATGCATTTTCCTTCAAGTTGTGGAGCTTAATTACTCCCCTCTTGAATATGGGCTGGGTTTTAGTGACTTGATTCTAGTGAATAAAATAATATAAAAGGGATAGTGAGCAACTTCAGAGACCAGGTCAGAAAGGCACTATGATGTCTTCCTTTGTCTTTCAGGTTCCTCATCTAGCAGAAGCCAGCAGCCCTTAGAAGAGGTCCATGAGGTGAGGAACTGAAGTTTCCTGCTAACAGCCATGTGAGTGAGCCTTCTTGGAAGTGGATCCTCCAGCCCCAGTCAAGCCATTAGAGGACTGCAGCCCCAGACAACATTAAAGACACTATCAAGAGAGTGAAAATACAACCCACAGAATCGAAGAAAATATTTGCAAATCATTTATCTGAGAAAAGTTTAATATACAGAATTATAAAGAACTCCAGCAACTAATGAAAAAAGGACAAAAAACCCAGTTAAAAAAATGGTAAAGGTCTTGCATAGACATTATGCAAAGATGATATACAAATGGCCTATAAACCCATGAAAAGATCCTAAACAGCATTAGTCATTAGGGAAATCCAAATCAAACACACTTCACACCTTCTAGGATGGCTCTGAAAATAATTTTTTAAAAATAGAGAATACTTAGAATCATACAACTTCCCAAAACTGAATCAAGAAGAAATAGAGAATTTGAAGAGAGCTATCACAAGTAAAGAGATGAAACAGTAATCAAAAATGAAAGTCCAAGATCAGACGTCTTCTCTGGTGAATTCTAGGAACGATTCAAAGAAGATTTAATACCTATCCTTCTCTAACTCTTCCAAACAATTGAAGAGGATGGAATGCTTCCTGACTCATTTTACGAGGGCGAATGTTACCCTGATACCAAAACCAGACAAGGACAACACAAAAAGGAAAAATACAGGCCAGTATCACTGATTACGTTCAATGTAAAAATCCTCAACAAAATATTAGGAAATAGAATACAGCAATAAATTAAAAGGATCATACACTACAATCAAGTAGGATTAATTCCAGGGATGCAGGGATGGTTCAACAGCCACAAATCAATCGACATGATACAGCACATTAATAAAATGAAGAATAAAAATCACACGGTCATCTCAATAGATGAGAGAGAGCACTTGACAAGATTCAACATCCATTTTTGATAAAAACTCTCAACAAAATAGTTATAGAAGGAAAATACTTCAACATAATAAAGGCCATATATGACAAACCCACAGCCAACATCATACTCAAAGGTGAAAAACTGAAAGCTATTCTTCTAAGAACAGGAACAAGACAAGGATGCTCACTTTTGCCACTCGTATTCAACACAGTATTGGAAGTCTTAGCTAGAGCAATTAGGCAAGAAACAAAAAGAAAAGGGATCCAAATTAAAAAAGAAGGAGTAAAACTGTGACTATTAGTGGATGCTATGATTCTATATATAGATAATCCTAAAGAATCCACAAAAAAAAACTATTAGAAATAATGAACAAATACAGTAAACTTGCAGCGTACAAAATCAACATGCAAAAATCAGTCATTTGTACACTAACAGCAAACTAGCATAAAGAAAAATCGAGAATATAATCCCATTTACAATTGCAACAAAAAGAATAAGATATCTAGGAATAAATTCGACTAGGAGGTGAAAGACCTATACACTGAAAACTATAAGACATTATTGAAAGAAATTGAAGAAGACATAAAAAAATGGAAAAGTATTCCATGCTCATAGATTGGAATAATAAACATAGTTAAAATAGTCTGTATGACCTAAAGTGATCTACAGATTCAATGCAATCCCAATCAGAATCCCAATGACATTTTTCACAGAAATAGAACAAAGAATCCTAAAATTTATGTGGAACAACAAAAGACCCCAAATAGCCAAAGCAATCCTGAGAAAAAAGAACAGAGCTGGAGGTATCACTCCCTGATTTCAAAATATACTACAAAGCTATAGTAATCAAAACAGCATGATACTGGCTCAAAAACAGACACACAGATCAATGGAACAGAACTGAGAGCCTGGAAATAAACCCACACATTGATAGACAGCTAATTTTTGACAAAGGAGCCAAGAATGTACAATGAAGAAAGGAAAGTCTCTTCAATAAATAGTGTTGGGAAACTAGACAGCTACATGCAAAAGAATGAAAGTAGACCACTATCTTATACCATACTCAAAAATTAACTCAAAATGTATTAAAGACTTGAATGTAAGACCTGAAACCATAAAACTCTTAAAAGAAAACATAGGCAGTATGCTCTTCAACATCAGTCTTAGCAGTATCTTTTTGAATATCACGTCTCCTCAGGCAAGGGAAACAAAAGAAAAAAAAACTTTGGACTACATCGTAGTAAAAAGCTTCTACATGGCAAAGGAAACCATCAACAAAACAAAAAGACAACCCACCAACTGGGAGAAAATATTTGCAAATCATATATCTGATAAGGGGTTAATATCCAAAATATATAAAGAACTCATAGAACTCAACAACAGAAAAATGAACAATCAGAAAAATGGGCAGAGGGGACCGGCCCCATGGTCTAGCAGTTAAGTGCGCATGCTCCGCTGCTGGTGGCTCAGGTTCGGAGCCCGGCAACGCACTGATGCACCGCTTGTCAAGCCATGCTGTGGC